GGTGAATTATATGAAGGCATGGAGGTCACGTGAGCAGACATTAAAATTGATTAGAGGTGATCCAACAACATAGTTTTAGTTGCTACCTTCTTATTTTTTTATGTTACAACAGATGAACATAGGGACAGTCACACGAATAGAAACTGATCATTTAGATAGATTTAAATATTGTTTTATGGCTTTGGGTGCATCGATTGCTGGTTGGAAATATTGTAGGCCAGTCATTGTTGTTGATGGTACATATTTAAATGGTCACTACGGCGGTACACTCTTTACAGCTTGTACACAAGATGCAAACAGCAATATCTTCATACTAGCTTTTGGGATTGGGGATAATGAAAACGATAAGTCATGGAGATGCTTTCTTGAAATGTTGAAGAGGGCATACGGATCTAGAGACAAATTATGTATAGTATCCGATAGACACAATAGAATAAGAAATGCCATTGAATTTGTATATCTAGAAGCAATGCATGGGATTTGTTGGTACCATTTGCTGAAAAATTTGAAGACTCAATACGCAAAATCAGGTCACAATGTCACACATGCATTCAATTCTGCTGTAAGAGCTTATACAGTGGATGAATTTGAATACCAAATGCAGCAATTGGACTCAATAAATGAAGAGATCAGGGGATATTTGGTATGTGATTGTCTGAAACATATGTTATGACTTCACGTGACTTGTTCTGTGATGTTATGAAATTTCTATGAATATCTGTGATCATGCATGTTTAATTTACAAACTATATTTCATTTATTGTTACATGCAATTGAAACATGATTATAAATGACATATATCAGTGGATATTTTGCATGTGGTCTCATTTACAATTGAAACATGATATAGTTTTATGAATGTGTCCATTTGTGACATGTTGTGTGATAATACTGACTATCTGTAAACTTTTTAGAGTTAACTGTGACCATATGTGACTTGTTACTTATACTTGAATATGTTATCTAGTAATTTTCTTTAGTTGGATGTTGGGTATGAAAAATGGTCAAGATTGCACATGCCAACCAATAGATACTCTACTATGACATCAAACATAGTAAAATCTGTTAACGCAGTCACGAAGGCGGCAAAAAATTACCCCATTAGAGCACTTCTAGAATCATTGAGGCAAACGATCCAATCTTGGTTTTGCAAAAATAGAGATGATGCACATGGCACTTTCACAAAACTTGCAACAAAACATGAGAAGCTGTTAATGGAAATGAGCAATGATGTGAGAAATCTAAAGGTAAAAATAAGAAAACTGTTTATTATGTTGATCACAAGTATAACTTTAAATAATTTTTATTTTCAGGTTTCTCCTGCCAATCACACTTTGTTTGAAGTGAGGGACAATTCTTCATCTTACATGATGGATATAACTCTACATATATGTAGTTACAAAATGTTTCAAGTGGATCAACTTCCCTGTTCACATGCACTGGCAGTAATAGCAACATTGAAACTGAATGTGTATGATTTTTGCTCGGTGTATTACATAAGAGATGCATATCTGAATACCTACAAAGAGTCTATCTTTCCTGTAGGTAATAAATCAGAATGGAATTTGCTAGAAGATGTGAGTAATAGAGTTGTTTTGGCTCCAGACCAAAAGAGAAGTTCAGGACGACCTACTGAGAAAAGAAAGAAGTCAGCATATGAGAAATCACAATTTGTGAAATGTGGAAGATGTGGTGAATCTGGTCACAATCGTCGAACATGCAGGAACATGGTGCTACTTAACCAGAATGATAGAAAATTGAAATAAAAAAAAGATCTAAAGAAATTCAAATAGCTTAGCATAATTTTTTTACACAATGATATTTTTTGTAATTGTAAATTGTTTCATTTTATTGCTGAAGTATGCATTTTTTGGATTATATGAGTTGACATATTTATGCATTGAGCTTACGTTCTATCTCATGATGTCGCATATTTTTGGAAAGGGCTGTGTAGATAGACATTGATTGTGACTCTGTTTGTGATGATTGTGACCATCTATGACCATTTCAAGCATAAAATAAGCTCTATATCTTTTGTTTAACTTGTGTGTTCAAACTAACTTTGAATGTCATCTTCCTCTAGATGGGACAAATTTTGTGCTTACTTTTTTTTATAAGAGTGTCAATCATAAATGTTAAGCATTTATAACCATTTTTTACATGTTCATATGTAACAAGTTAACCAACAGTTGCTATTTGTGATCATCTGTGACTTGCAATTACATAGGAAAGTACTCGTATGTGACCACTTGTGACCTATTCAAGTCATCCAAATTGAACAACTGTTGCTATTTGTGACGATCTGTGACATGGAGTTATATAACACATTACTCACATGTGACTCTTTGTGACATTTTCAGACTGTGCAATATTCTCATGTGACCTGTTCAGACCGTATAAACTTTTACATCCATAAAAAACTTAGATGTTATAAACAAAATCATTCACATAAACACCAGTGCTTTCACCTTGTATAAATTGACAAAAACAAATTCAAATTCAATTCTAAAACATATTACAAAGATAACATCTATCGACTACATCATAAAAACTTCTATTTGTCTAATTTTGAACAGCTATCAATCTGATCCATCATGAAAACAATGCCATCAACAATTCATTCATTCATCTGACTTTGAATTTTCCTTTTCAATCTGCCTCAGTTGTTTGCTTTTGAATAGCAATGCCGCAATTTCAAGTCTGGCATTCCCAACATCAAAAGACATTGACATTTTGCCAAGATCATTATGCAACAAATATTGTGCATATTTTATGACAAAAACTCCACAATCATGCCTGTAATATTTAAAGAAGACAAACCATAAGTAATTACTAAATGTTGATGGAAAATGATAAAACTTGCAATGCCCATAGGGAAACTTACCCATTTTGTTGTTGGGGCAAACCATTGACAATGTTAACATGCAAGTCCCCAGATTTGTCACCAATACCGTCACCAGTTTCTGTCCACAGCCTAACAAATTTTAACAGCTGTGTAAGAGTCTTCACAAGTGGTAAAACCCTTTCACGAACCTTATTGTTCTTGTATGATTTGTTGATTGAATTATATATGTAAAGGACATGATTAGTAATATCAAGCTGCCCTGACATCCAATGATCATGATTTGTGGACATAATGGGCATCAACACAAATTCAACTTCTCTTCAAGCAGTATTAAATGGTAACTGTTCACCATTGATGGTTTTGATTAGCTTATCCTTCTCATTGACAATGCTTGAGTCTTGAATAAATTTGGAGTATGACGACTTGATTGTTATATCAAATATGCAGTCTGTAATGGTAGCTTTCATCTTCACACTTTCACCGAACTTGGCAAGTTGTCTTATATAATGAAAGCATGCATCCAAGTACTATATTAACAAAGAATTAACATAAGTAATACAAACTACTATGCATATCTGGAAAATGGTGACAATAGTATACCATCTTGTTCAATGATGAATTAGAATCGATCAACACATGCCACCAAGTTTTATGATGAACAGTGACAGTGCCCCACACAAACTGAGGACTTATCACGTTATCTGCATTGTTGAACTTCACCCTGTGTACACACATATACCCTCATCAAACAAATGAATAAGATTGTGACCAATTTATTTCTATCTGTGACTGGCAATGTTATAGTCACAAAAAGTAATGGAAGGTCACAATTCACTAAAGAACACTTAAAATCTTTGTTTAATTTACTTGTTCTTAGGCTTGTATCCTCCGTCAAATCAATTCTAGAATGAACTCAGATCTGTACTATCAACTCCCTTCGAATAATTTTGGAACACAACATTTACAGAGTTAGATTTTGATCTAGTAGTAGCATGACGTGGATCAACTTTAACAAAAGGTGATTGCAGAGTTTTCGATAGCTTTTGTGCTCTCTTCACAGGAAGTAAGTGTGTTTTTGCACACTTATTTAGGTCATAAACATGACTTAATTACGAGCAAAATGATTGAATTGTGACTTAATCTCATTACGTTTGTGAGTTGTAGGGAACCCCGATGAACATGGTGAAATTTACGAGAAAAGATACTAAAAAGGACTAAAATGACGCAAAGTAAAATATCAGGGACCAAGATGCAATTATCCAAAAGTTAACCCGATGAACAAATCAAGACATTGATTAAGCCAAATGCCAATTGATGACATCTTGGGATGATGGAATAGAAACAACGAAGAAAAGATGCCAAGAAGTGAAAGATTTAAGTAGAGGGACCAAAGTGGAGAAAATGAAAGTGAAAATCTACCATGCGGCGCATGGTAGATCTCTCGTGCGGTTGTGCACATGAGGGCAGGAAATTTTTTACGCATAACCATGCGGCCGTATGGATTAAAACCATACGGTCGCATGGTAGTTTTCCAAAGCGAAAATTTTACTTTCTTATACGATTGAAACTCTTTTGGTAACAAAATTTTCACGCGATATAAATACCAAAAGACGTCCAGAACATAGGCGATGCCCTTTTTACAAGAAAAAGGGAGTTTTTGAAGGAGAAAATGAAGAGAGAACAAGAGGAAAACATCACGCCAAGTGAAGATTCGATTGAAACTTGATTCGGGTGATGACGTTTCTTCAACTATTTTTGTATTTTCTTATTTTTAGAATGTTAGGCTAAATTTTTCATTACTAGGAGATCGATGAACCCTACAATACTACGTTTGATTTTTGATTTGGAGATTTGACATATTTGAACACATGCCTCGGAATTAAATGATTTATATGTTTTTATTTCCATATTATTATTGTGCACGTAATTATTTGATTTTGGTGGCTTATTTTATGCATTCAAAAGAAGAAAAATAGGCTCGACATAGTATAAATTATCATAGGATCTGATAGGGAATATAAATATACCTCCGAGGAACGATCCATGAGTCGACAAGAGCTCGAATTCCTCTTTCTTAGAGACTCAGAACTCATCAGGGTTTCAGCTCTCTTTTCTCAAACTTGATTGCCTTGTGTGAATTGTTGAATATTCATGAAATCATAATGCATTCCTGTATGTTAGTATTCGTCATAGAGATATAGTTGAATCACATATTGGGGTAGGTTTGGCATTGCTTGAGAGAGATTGCTAAATTAAAATAGGAATATTAATTCATCAATTGTGGAAATGTTTGTCAAATTTGCATAATTAAAAGTTGAACGGGTGTTGCTGGGAAATTCGTGATCCTAGTGCGTTAGTAAATTCATTTAATTTCATAAATTCTCGTAGATTGTGTCCAAGTCATTTTACATTTAATATAGTTCTCTCATTCATAATTGCATCATAGATTACATCTTCCTTAGTTAAATCACAATACATCAATTTTACTTTCGTGTTTCGGTTAAGGTCATAATAGGTTGGTTTGAACTAATTCAATCCTTGTGGGATCGATACTTGGACTCATAGTCCATTTTGTCACTGTTAATGAACCGTACACTTGCGGTGGGTTGTAAATCGAAACAAATAATTTTGTGAACAAGTTTTTGGCGCCGTTGCCGGGGATTGAAATTTAGTTTAATTTTATTTATTGTGACACTAATTCGAACTTGCCTAGATTAGTAGCAGTTAGCTTACATCACTTAGTTATTGTTTACTTTAATTTAATTTTGTGTTATTTTGCTATCTCAGAGTTTTTATGCAAAGATCATGATGCGAACCCCGTGGCAGTGGAAACTACGAAACCCACAACGAGATTGATGCGGAACCTAAGAACGCCAATACTAACCCAATTTTGGATCTTGAACCCCAAGAATTGAACCAAGAAACCCTAGATTAGTGAAGAACCTAAAACCCCTTGATTACAATTAAAAGAACCCACAATCCAATTGATTAGAACGCCACAAGAAGTTGAATCTTGATAAATTTCAAGATTGTTCAAGAAGAACAAGAAATTGAAAGAACAATTCTCTCTCTATAATATTAAGCAAAAGTCAAAAGTTCTTACAATGAAAAATATTCTCCTATTTATACTAATGAATAAAAACGTCCAAAACCATCAAATTATGGTAATAATTTGATTTCTTAAGAATTCTATCGAAACTAGGAAATTCGGCCAAAATTAGAAAATTCGCCAATTTTTTTGGCTTGTATGACCTCATGGTGTATTTCCATGCGGTCACATGGTTCAACAAGAATTGGTGTTTTGATTTTCGGTATGCATGTGTGCGGACGCATGGATTTTTGCCTGTGCGGCCGCACAGACTTGTTTTCGGCCTCCGCTTTTGTCACTTAATAACAAATTGATCCAAATTGATTCGGCCTTTGACCCGAACATGAAAGTTTCTCCATTTTGAGTCCTGAACATGGTTCCATTAATGGTTTCTTGAATGAGCAATCCCATCGCTTGTTTCACTTGCTTTGCCCTTGATTGCGTCATTAGTCCGCCATCGACTATCAACGGGTCTCGTCCCGCACTTGCCTTCGTCGAGCTCGACTCCTGGAACATATCATCCCCTCCCTCTTCAAAAGGATTCGTCCTCGAATCTAAACCCGCATCAAACAGAGAGAGATCAAACAGAAAGTTTCTCCATTTTGAGTCCTGAACATGGTTCCATTAATGGTTTCTTGAATGAGCAATCCCATCGCTTGTTTCACTTGCTTTGCCCTTGATTGCGTCATTAGTCCGCCATCGACTATCAACGGGTCTCGTCTCGCACTTGCCTTCGTCGTGCTTGACTCCTGGATCATATAAAAAACTAAGTGAAATTTTATTCAAATTTGATTGGCAACGCGCCAATCAACCAATCTCAAGTGAAATTTTAG